CCTAGATACTTAGCCCTAATCTAGCATGCAGTTCTTGTAATCATATCATATAACATGTATGGGTATCTTGGGGAAAACTTACTTGAGCTCGGCTGATTGCACGCATCACACACCTTGTTCTTTATTCAAAAACCATTATTTTAAATTTAGAAAAAATTATTTTTCTTGTAAAAACCTTTCAAACCCTCAATTTGAGTTCAGACACCCCCGAAGGTGTGTCTGAATCCCTCAAACCAAGGCTCTAATACCAACTTGTAACATCCCAAAATTTCAACCCAAAAATTTCATTTTTGTTGTTTAACAATCATAAAACAAACCATATCATTTTTCCCCAAACCATGAAAACATAAAATAGTTTAGTTGTCCAATCCATGATACATATAAAATCATCATCAGGGTCATAATCCCAATATCGCTAGTGCTAAAAATCCATGGTGTGATGCGATACGATCAAGTCGGCCCTTTTCCCTTCGATTTAGAAGTACCTGAAACAAAACTGAAAACAGTAAGCACAAAGCTTAGTGAGTTCCCCCATAATACCACATACCATACAATAACATGCTGCCTAGCATATCAGGGTGCTAGCCTACCCCTTCGGTCTCTTTCAACCGGTAACATCCTAGCATATCATGGTGCTGGCCTACCCCTTCGGTCTCTTTCAACCAGTAACCTCCTAGCATATCAGGGTGTTGGCCTACCCCTTCAGTCTCTTTCGACCGGTAACCGCCTAGCATATCAGGGTGCTGGCCTACCCCTTCGGTCTGATACCAATCTGTCACACCCCCGAACAGGAACGGCAGAAACGTTCGCGGGCGGAGGACGTCATGTAAAGTATCACAACAATTGCATAATAGTAATCAAAGCAAACACAACCATTACATTGACTGAATATAGTATTTACATAAGTTCAATACATAGTTTGTATGACATCAAAAATGTATAAAAAAGTATAAAAGACGCGAATCTAAAAGCTCCGTCTTCTCGAAACCTGCGGGTGTACCTGTCTACCGGTTCCCTGAGAATACAAGTGGTTTTGAAAGTGTATCAACATTTAAGTTGGTGAGTTCATAAGTATGTTTTTGTAATGGAAACTTATCATTGATCTTTGAAAAATGTTCGTATGTGCTCCTCAAGAAAATCCAATATTTTCTTTAGTAGTGAAAAGTAGTCTTATGCCTTCAGACCAAAATGTACGTTTGTTACTGTATTCTGTAATAGTATAACAGAGTAGTGTTTGTTATGAAACCCTTGTATGAAAACCTTGGTATGAATGCATGGATACTACCAGATGTATGTATAATAGTGTACTGTGTGAAAACCTTTGTATGAAAGCATGCATACCACCAGTTGTAATGTATAGTAAAACCGTTTATCTGTAATCCCTGGAATCCTCTAGTTGTAATGTAGTGTAGTTTTATTATTTAAAATAAAACCATTTGAAGAAATGAAATCCCATAAACAAATGTTTTAGTTTATACCGTTGTGAGTTTCGTATAACCATGCTTGATATGACTAGTGACCTCTATGACGTTCTTCGGGCGTCGGAAACGTTATGACATTTGTCACCCCAGGCCTGCCGGCCTAACTGTAGCTAACAGTTTAGGTGCAGGATTGTCAGTCCCGTATAGATCTATACATAAATTCACGCTCTCCCTCCAGGAGACTCTGGTTATATTGTAAAGGATTTAGCCCTATACCCTGATGGGTACAATGAAGTAGTGCCTCACAACCCTGTATTAACTAGTTTACGTGTAGTGTTGTAGTGTTCCCTTGTACTTGGATATGTATGTATAACCTTGTAGTAAAGTACTTGTACTGTAAAATAAATATACTTAAATAATTATTTAGTAATGTTTTCTTGTATCCGAAAAATAGTGTAATGTTCCATAAACTATATCTACCATAGTTTATTTGTTAGTTTCTGAATAATGTTCATGAACTAGTAAAATAGTGTAATGTATCCCAAACTATACCTATTATAGTTTGTATGAATGTTCTTGTTTCGTGTATTGAACTCTGTAAAAGTAATGTAGTGTTCTTAACTATACCAATTATAGTTTAATTGTGTGTTCTGTACTGTACAGAAAACTTTTGCAATTTAGGTGTATGAAGGAAAAACACCCTTATGCTCGACATGGTACAAAAAGGGTTAAAATATATTAATATTTTTTGTAAACTGTAGTGAATTCTTTGTTTTGAAAAGGTTTTGAAGCTGTTTGAAATCATTTGTATAAAACACAGAAATCCTTGTGTTTACTTGTATCCCCCCCCCCCTAAAAACATTGAAAACGGTAAAGTGTAGAGGTATGAACTCACCTCTAGTGCGTGTTTGAATCAGGATTGCGGAACTGTAGAGATGATCCTCGGGCTAGCGTTTGTGGAATTAACGGTATCCAAATAATATTTAAACATGTATCGTATTTAAATTAGCCAAACAGTTAATTAAAGTGTTAGAAAACACTTGATTTATGTTAAGTATGATTACCGAAAATTGTATAAGTGTTGAAGAGAGTTTTCAGTCCCAAAGGGGTTCTCGGCCGAAAACGGTTCTCGGCCGAACACAGTTTGCGGTCATGGGCTGTTTTCGGTCACTTGAAGATTTGAAGGATGTTCTTTGTGTTCTTGGTGAAAATATGAAGATTTGAAGGTTTTCACTTGAAGGTTTGAATGTTCTTGGATGATCCTTGGGAGCAAAATGAGAGTACTTTCGAGTGAAAAAGGTGAGAAATGACTAAATTTTCTAGGAGACATACTTATATCGGTTGGGTTTTCGGCCGGAAATGGGTTCTCGGCCGAAAATGGTTTGTTGCCCGAGAGTTTTCGGCCGAAAATGGTTATGGTGCGAGGGTTTTCGGTTCCGACGGGAAAGATACTGATTTTCGAGTGTTTTTGATTCCAAAAACTTATATAAATATTATTTATATAATTTAAATTATTTTCTAACCCTCACGGACTTACGAAATAATTAAAACTCGAAATTTTATTCATCGGATTTTACTTTTGTTGACCTAGAAAGTAACGGGTTGTTACATAACCGGTTACGGGGACTACTTCACCCCTACCATTACCACATAATAACATACATAATCATACTGCCAGGCATATCTGGGTGCCTGACCTACCCCTTCGGTCTTAATGACCGGATACGCGGTGTATTTCACCCCTACCACTATCACATAATACCATAGCATACTAGCACATAAATCATAACAGATAGTGGCATACCAGATAATTTTCACAAACACAATTATCTAAATACATACTCCTACTAGTGGGTCGGCCTTGGTGCCTTACACCCACTGCTACTGGGAAGGTAACTCACCTCGAATGCTTTAAAGTAGCTGATAAATCCCTAGCTCTGAAATCAACCCAACTCAAACCCCTACACAGAAAAGATTTCCTTTTTAATTCCCCTTTCATACTCATAACCCCCTTATGGGTCAACTTGCTCAAAGTCAAAGTCAAAGTCAAAGTCAACATTCCGAGTTTACTTAACTTGCCGAGTTGACCCATCAACTCGCCGAGTTCCATAAATCATCAAATCCTGAAATCGCGATCCAAATCGTCGAGTCCTTTCGTGAACTCGCTGAGTTCCTCCTATCTGCAGAATCGGGACTTGTCAACTCAACCCGTTGAGTTCATCCTTGAACTCGCCGAGTTCTCCTTCTAACATAATCGGGACACTTCGACCCAACTCGCCGAGTTCCTTTATGAACTCATCGAGTTCTTCAGTCTGTTAGCACCTCTTGATGCATTAAGTCGCTATCCTTTAAACCGAGGTCCTATCTTCTGGATCTAAGCTGGAAAAACACTTATAAGGGTAATTTTCCAACTTTACCCGCTAGGGACCTCTCCCCACTCAAAAAACTCAAACCCTAGCCCAAAAGGGCTTAGATCCAACTCCAAAATTCATCAAATCTCCAAGGTAGACCATAAGGTCATAGATCTGGACTCTAGGGCCAGTTTGGTCACGTAAAGTTCCTATCTTTACTTGCATGCATGACCTTACTTGGATCAAAAGACCAAAAATATGGTCTAAAAGTTTCATGGGACTTCCATGGTCATAAAGTTTGCACCTTTATGCCATGAAGTCCCCTCAAGACTCTAGATTTGAAGGGTTAACCCACAAAGAACGTCCAAGTCCCAAAAACCAACATACTTGGACGAAAACATGAAGAAAGCTTCCTAAGACTAGATCTAAGCAAGTTATAGGCAATATAGAAGCTTTATACCTCAAATAGACTGGAAATGAGGCCTAACTTATGTATCTATAGGCTCTCTTCAGATCCTTGCTCCTTCTGCAAACTCCTTGCTCTTCAGTACCACCAAAACAACACCAAAGTTCTCTAGGTAAGCTCACAATCACCAAGAATAGATTAGGGTTTTGGATAATGGATGCTGGAAATGAGGCTAGGTTATGGGGGTTAAGGTGTTTAAATAGGGTGCAAAACCCTGAATGAAGCTAGGCTTAGGGTTTTAGATAATGGATGTTGGAAATAAGGCTAGGTTATGGGGGTTAAGGTGTTTAAATAGGGTGCAAAACCCTGAAATTAGGGTTTCATTCTGCCAGTCCTACTCCTCGAGTTGAGGCCTCTCAACTCGTCGAGTAGGTTTCTTAACCCGCATCGTTTTTCATCCCTAGTCGATGAGTCTGGGGCTCCCAACTCGTCGAGTTTCTCTGTAAAAATGAATAATTTATAAATTAAAATACATACCAGGAACCAAGCGTTACAACAGACTTCATTGGATCACATCATTTTTTTAGATAAACTTCACAGCGGATGGTTTGGTCACTTATTGTACTATTAGTCTGCCCTAGGAGCATAAAAGTTTAGAGTCCTCTTAGTCATCTTCTCAAGCACATTAGTAGGGACCAAGTGCTTCTATCTTATCTTGAAAAACTATTTCTTGGATAACCCCTTAGAACGATAAATATATTTGAATTCAGGAACAATTGTAGAACCGAAGGGCATGTCTTCTATATCCCTTCTAAGGAGATATTAGGAGATTGAGGCAACACCTATTTTGAAAAGGTGACGGAGCTCAATGTCGATTCTCCCAAGCTCCTTAATGTAGTCATCCATGAAAGTTTTTGCAGCATTGATAGCACTCATTATAAGGTCACTCTTATCTTGTTTACTGTGAAAGTGGTTGGTAATAGTTAGGATATCCACAAGATTCATCACTGCGAACTCAACATTGGTTACAGTTATCTTGGGTTTGTTTGCTTGGATGATATGACAGGACTGAAGACGAGGTTTGAGTGAAACTCGATGAATGACCTTCTTTCCACAACCTTTAATGGAGGTGATCATTTTTAGGGACCAAACCTTATTTATTGATTTGGCATGGGCAACATGAAAGAATCAAGTCTTGTCCTTTTCCGAGACTATTTGATCTTCAATAGGGGCACTCGAATTTAGCCTTAGGAACTTGGTATAATAAAGAGCATGAAGAGATAGGGGAAGATCTGATTACTCAATATCTAATATTAGAAGGTTGAAAGATTGGTAGGGCACACTTTGGTGATCGCAAAGTCAAGCCTGAGGATTCCAATGAGAAATCCCTGTTCTGTATCATTTGAATTTTACTTGTAATATGCGATACAGAGGTTTAGTTTCGTAGTTATTTTTCTACGCTTTGTAGCATTAGTTAATTTGTTTTGTATGTTGTCTTAGCTTAGGTGTCATAACCTCATTGGTCCACTTATATAAGGGATGTTAGTTAGAGATAGAGTATCTTTTGAAAGAGGTTCTTATGTCATATGTAATTGAACTTCTTTTACTATATAATCAAATTCAGATCTTATTTACCTTGATGTGTTCATTCAGTTTCATTTTAGCAATCATGATTTATGTCTTTTAGAATCTAAACTATCCTACAAGTTGTATCAGAGTAGGAATTTCTCTGATCTATTTTCAAATCATTTAGTTCATCCGTGTTCTTCGAGTTCTTCATTTGTTACGGTGATTTTCTAGATCTATCGTACATTTTGCAATCCAATTATAATTTGATTTGGAATTCATTGTTTTATTACTCATTTTTTATTTCAATTCTGATTGTGCTCATTGATTTTGTTCTTACTCAAAATTTTCATCTGAAATCATGTCTAAGTTAGATATTCATGCTATTTCTTTCAATTTGTCAAGTATTATTGGTCCTTCTACTCGTATTCCAGTTATGTTCCCTGAAGATTATGAAATCTGGGGTTTACACTTTAAAGATTATATCTCCAGAATTGAAAGACAAAGACCGTATATTTGGAAGACAATCATCATAGGTGCTTATAAATGAACTAAGAAAAGTAAGGATCTGACAGTAGAAGAAAAGGAGAAGATCGTAGGATATTTAAGAGACAAAAGAGATTTACGTTGTACATCTAATTTTTCCAGGTATTTTCTTTTGACCCTTGAGTTATGAATTGTTTGCAAGATGGGTCCCTGATGGCAATTTCGTGATTTTTTACTGCAGCTTGTGTACGATGGGCGTACACTTTGGTAAGTTGGGCATACCAAGACCCGTGCCAGTATGATGCGCATATGTAGTTTAGCCCAAAACCCTAATATTTAGGGTTTATGCACTATTTATGCACCATTATAGCCCCAATACCTTTCCCTTTATCATCCTCCATCCGAAGATCGACCCTTCTTGCAAACCCTAGCCTATTTTGAGCATTTTGAGCTTTTGGAGTGAGTTGTGAGCTTTCTTGTTTGTAAAGAAGGACCTTCAAGGAGTAGGCTTTGCTCTAAAGACTTTGGATCCAACATCTTCTCTTCATTGTGAACCATTTAGAGGTATAAAGCTCCAACCTTGGCTCATTTTTTTCTATATCTTGGTTAAGCTTAGATTTTCTCCTCTTCTGTCCCAAGATCTAGGTCTTTGTGAGTATGAGGTACTCCAAAGCCTTTAAGCCGTCCTTTTAGACATTTCACGACATTTTAAGTCATAAAAACACAAGCTTGAATCTTGGTTTGTCCCCATGCAAGAATTATGGTGTAGGAAATGTTTGAGTAAGTTAGGTTTTTAGTGTTGGGCTTCTTGTAGCCATGCAAAGGCATAAAGTTTTCAACTTTATGGCCTTAGGGGTCTTATTAAGACCAGATCTGGAATTTAGACGTAGTGTCTTAAGGCATTAAGACCTTATTATGAGTTTTTTCTATAGGGCGCATACGCGGGGTGTAATTCCCAGTATGTTGTGTCTACTGCACCTTAGTCACGATCCGTTCCTGTATCGGTTGAGTATGCGGGGCGTACGACCCAATCCAACTTTTGGTCATTTTGGGCCTTGAATGTTTGGGCTTTGCTTGTTGGGTTTGGACCAAAGATTTTCATCGTAATGGGTCACTTCTGAATTTGGGCCCATGTTGGACTTTGGATGAACTTTGGGATTGGGCCTAGGATTTTGTTTGGGCATGAATAAAAAGTGTAGATTGGCCCTTTTACCTTAGATATCGGAAAAATTAAGTAGAGTCTCAGCTATGGCTTATGTCCTAATTATTAATATAGGTTTTATTTGTTTAGTCATAGCGGAAATTTTAATAGGTCCAGTAGCCCGAGCATTTATCTGGTTTTTCAATGGTTGAGGTGAGTTTCCTCACTACATCCATGGGTCGAAGGCACCAATGCCGACATATTGCTTGTTATGTACAATGTTTGATGCCTTGTGATAATTATATGAGAGACCAGGATCTGGCCCCTGGCATTTGTATGAAAACCAGGATCTGGCCCCTGGAAGTTATATCACAGACCAGGATCTGGCCCCTGGAACTTGTATGCAAGACAGGGATTTGGCCCTTGGCATTGAACGGAAAGACCATGGTTTAGCCCATGGTAGGAAATGATTATATGGCTATGATTTGGCCCATAGCATTTATTTTCTTTTATGTGTGGTATGCAGTACTTTTTGGGAACTCACTAAGATTTATGCTTACAGTTTATGTTTATGGTTTCAAGTACTTCCAGTTCAAAAGGGAAGGGCCCGACGTGATGGCACATCATCGTTCCCTTATGATTTTCGCACTTGATATATTTGCACTCTGATTTTTTTAATACTATAATGATTGATGGTTTTTGGTATAATCAATGAATGAAATTAATAGTTTTTAAATGATAAATTTTAGTATTGTTTTTGGGTCGTTACAAGTTGGTATCAGATCCTAGGTTTGAGGGATTCGGACATTCTTTCGGGTGTGTCAGAACTCAAACTAAGGAAATGATAGTTTTCTTAATTAAAAAAAGTTACAAATTTAGAAGGATTTTTATTAAGAAGAATGGGTGTGATATGTGCGATCATCCAAGCGTAAGTAAGTGGTTCCCAAATTACGTATACCTATGTATTATGAGTAGTATGCTTGATATGAGAATTGCATGCTAGATTAGGGCTAAGGATAACTTCAAGAATCATATTATAGAATCATCTGCTTTGTGTGATGCCTTATAGCATAGTGGGACTTAATGCTATGTTTTACTTGGAATTGATATCGGCTTAGTTAATTGCTAAGTGTATGCTTTCAAAGTTGTAAACGATTAGGATTGTATAGCCCTAGAATGATCGATTTGGCCTCATTTTTTGTTCCATATTTGGTTGTGGACTTAGGGTAGAATCATCCTTTGATAGTCTATGTGATCCTATTTTGTGTAGAACTTGGATGCATAGGGCAACCAATGGTGTTGATTGAGATTCTTGGTATTGCGAGTGGTGGGAGTTGAGAATTCCTAGGGGAGTCTAGGATATGTATGTTGTATCACATAGGATTAGTTTATGGTTTTAGTGTGGTGTCTTACACGAATCAGGACTGACCTTGAGGAAGGTACAGGTGGGTGTGAAAGGTAGTATTGGGCCAATACTAGTAGAAGCATAGGACACATACCTGCGACGAGCGCATACCTGGAAACTCTAAGGAGGCTTGTGTAGAGGAATCCCCTCGAGTCCTTTGCTAATTGTTTATATGTTATATTTTAGTTTGGAGGATGGTGATGATTACTCGAGGAGGTTTAGATTCGGGTTCTGGTTCAGGCTTGGGTTCAGGTGCTAAGCCAATTGATGAGCGTCTACGCGAGTTCATTTCGGCTGAGGTTAATCGTGGTATCTCGGATGCTACCCCTGTGTTGTTCGGTACCATCAAGGAGGGGATTATGGATTTAATGGATGAGAGGCTCAGGTGTTTTTGAGCTGAGATTTTTGCAGGTCAGGTTGGAGCTCGAACTCCCTCATTTCAGGAGTTCAAGGCTTGTGGAGCTCTCGAGTTATTTGGGGTGAAGGACCTCGTCGCTAGCCATCGCTGGATCACTGACATGGAGAATGCTCAGCGGACGAGCTTTTGCCCTGAGGGGGAAAAGGTGGGATTTGCATCATGCCTACTAAGGGATAGAGCACGAGACTAGTGGGAGGAGGTTACCCGAGCTATAAGCTCAGTGACGGTGATGACCTAGAAGGATTTTGTTCAGATATTCCAGATGGAGTTGCACCAGCTATCGAGGTGCATCAGCAGGTGAGGGAGTTCCAAGACCTTCACCAGACTACTGAGACCATGGCAGAGATTATCGCCAAATTCAGGGAGAGGGCTTTGTTGGTCCCGCAGTACGCTGAGGATGAGGAGATGAGGAAGATGAGATATCATGACATGCTGAGGGAGGATATCTGGTAGTTCGCAAGCTTTTTGGGGTGCAAGACCCTGAATGATATGATTGAGAAGGCCCGCAAGAAGGAGATTGAGTTGGAGCTCCGGTCAAAGCAGAAGCCGGAGTAGGGACATACAGCGGTGGGCCAAGCTAAGAGGACCAAGACATCTGATGCTCACACCAGAGGCCAGCAGGACCGGGGCCGTTGCGGCAAGTACGGAAAGCCGCATAGTGGGGCTTGCCAAGTGATGGGTTCAATTTGTTTTAGTTGTGGCCAGTCGGGCCACGTGAGCAGGGATTGCCCCAAGAGGGCTATGATTTGCTTCCATTACAATCAGACCGGCCATAAAACGGCTGATTGTCCGAGATTATCCAGGGGAGCAGTGGCGGCACCTGCGCCAGCCACTTTGAGGATTACTGATGGCCGCCAGGGCAAGGCGGAGGCTCATGTGGTGAAGAGCAGGGCGTTTCTGCTGACGACCAATGAGGCTTGTGCATCGCCGGATGTGGTTACTGGTGTGTGTCTTATCTTTATCTCTTATTTCTTTCATTGTTTATGCTTATGATTATTTAGATCTTGTATATGGACCTTTTTGGTCAATGATTTGACCGCTCATGTTCTGTTTGATTTGGGGGCTACCCAATCCTTTGTATCTCTTGCACATAGCAAGAAGTTTTTTGATGCTCCCAGGAC